TTTTATAGGATGGAGTCAGGCAGGAGGGGGAGGGGCATACCTCAGAACTCAGGACCTTGATAATAAAGACAAAGTGTGAACAGTTTTCTGGATAATAAAAAGTAACAGCAGAACCTTGTGGTACCCTCCTCTTATGCAGGACTTTTAAAGTGAATTTGTCAGACATTTAACATTTGGTCTACTAAAAGCAATGCATGTCTAGGTTCTGTGGCAAAATATACTCATTTGTCTTTAACCACTTCCAGTCCGGACACTTTTACCCCCTTCCTGTCCAGGGCAATTTTCAGCTTTCATCGCTATCACACTTTGAATGACAATTGCGCTGTCATGCAACACTGTACCCATATGCATTTTTTACCATTTTTTTGAGACAGATAAAACTTTATTTTGGTGGTATTTATTCACCGCTGGGATTTTCATTTTTTTTTGCTATGTAAATGAAAATGTCCAAAAAGTTTGAAAAAAAGTGTTTTTCTTATAAAATTTTGCAAATAAATAATATTTCATCATAAATCTTGGCCAAAATTTATTTCGTTATCTTTATAGTAAAAAAAGAAATAAGCCAAAATTAGTTTATAATCAAAAATTATAATTTTTAAACATTTTTATATTATTTATTTTATTTTTACATACTGTTACCCTAGCAGTACAGTGTCACCATGGTGACACTGTACTACTTTTGGGGGGTGAGGAAAATTTTTTTTTCTTTACACTGATTGCTTTTACACCCATATAGGATGTAAAAGCAATCATTTCTCTTTCTCTCTGTCTGCATTCTTGCAGCCATTGAGAACTACTGAGTGAGCTGTGATTGGTCACAGCTTGTTACATGGTACAAGGCTGTTGTGAATAGCCTTGTACCATGTTACCTCTGTGATCATTCACAGATTTCACACGTAGTAAGCAATGATGTCACAAGTGACATCTTGCTTACTACTTTGCATGTGATCATTGATTGGCCAATCAGTGATCACATCATAGGAACCTCGTACAGAGGTCCCGTCCGACGATCCGTGTTTCACTGTGTCCGGAGGACACAGCGGGCACCGGATCGCGGTGCGGTGCGCTCCCGGTGAGCGCGCACAAGCAGGGTGCGGCGAGGCCGTTTTTTAAACGGCCGCCGGCCCTGCAGTGCCACCTTCCGGCCGTTTATATACAACGGCCGGTCGGGAAGTGGTTAAAGGTTAACTTTGCTTGGCTTGGAGCATATTATCTCCAATATAATTCTTTACAAATTTTGATATCAAATTATGATTTTGACCAAAAATAAACAGACAACCCTTCTCTACTGATTTAGAGATCATTTATCTTAGTAATTCTCTCTGGAAAATTCATGTCTACCTTTCCCAGAGTCGTCTCCTGGGCCTCCCATCGCATCCATATCTCTATGATCAGGGGTTCCAGGTCCATCATGCCAAGGTCTTTTGCGAGGTGGTAGAGAAGCCATATCCATGCCTTGTAAAGAAGATGATCGTTCCCTGCTGGCTGGAGAGTGACTTTCTGGGGTTGGAATGTCCTGGTGTGGACTGCCCTGAAAGTGATCTTGACCTGATGGAGAAAAAAAAAGCATGTAGATATACAAGATGATCTTACCTGAAGTAATAGTGCTTATATCAGTATACTATATCAGTTTTCAATAGGTAGATTCACTAAAGTGGGCAATATTACATTTTAGAAAAATACCATTTAGTCTAGTAGTTATACAGTGTTCTTCAAAAAGGATGGTGGTGAGTAGATCGACTTCTGTACAACCAGCCTACCCATACATGGATCGGAATTCGCCTGGTCCCTGCTGAACCGGTCGAATTTCAATCCACGTATGGCTGCCCTTAGAGTAAACCTTAACTCTTTTACAGTTTTGAGCACAATAAAAAGGTGAGGATATTTTGTCAATGTAAAAAAAAAAAAAAAAAAAAAACACACACTAAGGTTTTGTAAAGATAGAATGGAGTTCTTACTTCCATCTCTGTTTAGGTCTCGAGACTGGTGATTAGGCCCCCGATCTGAAACAGGAAACCTGTCTGGAGTGGGTAGAAGTCCTTTTCTTGCTTCTGGTAGAACAATACAGTTAACAGAGAGATCAACTATACACCAACCAAATTACATCTATAGTAACAATTCACAAAACAGATTACATATAAGGAGGCAACTAACCTCTCTGAGAACCCCGACCACGACCCCTACCAGAATCCCGCCCTCTACTAGGTTCATCCTTCATATCATAGTTGTCATCCGGACCAAATTCATCTGCATTAAAGAATCCTTCCCTTCCTCTAGAGCCACGACTCTCATGTCTTGGAGGACCAGACCTGCGAAAACTAATTTGAAGAAAACAAATCAAAATCAGTCTTAAAACTAAAATGTTGTATTGATTTTGGTCTTGATAGTTTAAGTTACAAAATGCATCATGTATTTTAAAGAGTAACAACACAAAATTCCGAACCACAATCATATGTCTATAACAGTTTTGATGTGTCAGAAGGTGTATATTATCATCCAAAAAAACATTTAGTGTTTTAAATAAATTATAGTGACCAAACATAAATTAGTGTCCAAAAAAAATATATATTAGTGTCCAAAAAAAAATATATATATATATAGATCTTCAGTGACTTGAACCAATTGTGAAAAATCCACCACCAAAGGAGATTAAATGAACTCACCAGAGCTAATGGCTGGTCAGATTATAAACCAGCAACAGCACTTGTGCTCTGGGAGCAATAAACCCGATGTCCAAATAGATATGGTGATGTTTCAGATACTTCCGGATAGTAATAATCACAGACAAACAGACAAAGCTTTTTATGTAGTAGAGTGTATATGTATAATTAAATTGGGAAACACCTGTTCAAGCTGGCGTGATTAAGGAGACTAGGAACGCAGTGATTGGCTGGGTGTTAAAATTATGTAGATGAAGGGTGGTATTTATAAGAGCTGTCTGACGTTCCCATTTGTACCGCCCCTTGATGACGTCGGTGTGACGAAACCGGTTGGGCGTGGCCTACACGATGTGGACGTTAGAGAGCCTTGCTGTTCTGTGCTGTATGGGAGAGATCCGCGGTGAGCGGTAATTGTATCTCACCTTTTTTGCGATTGAAGCTGGTGTCTGTTGGACACCTTGTTTGTGAGTTTCCTTATACCTTTTTTATTAAAGAAATAAATGAAAAAAACGTATTGCACTATTATGTTCTCTTTTTTTGTCCCTGAGTGTACTGTATGCTCTCATGGAGATATGAGAGAGTGGAGAAGTTCATCATAAGAGATTGGGCTGCAAAGTTGTTTGTCTGTGATTATTACTATCCGGAAGTGTCTGAAACATCACCATATCTATTTGGACATCGGGTTTATTGCTCCCAGAGCACAAGCGCTGTTGCTGGTTTATAATCTGACCAGCCATTAGCTCTGGTGAGTTCATTTAATCTCTTTGGTGGTGGATTTTTCACAATTGGTTCAAGTCACTGAAGATCTATATATATATATTTTTTGGACACTAATATATATTTTTTTGGACACTAATTTATGTTTGGTCACTATAATTTATTTAAAACACTAAATTTTTTTTGGATGATGATATACACCTTTTGTATAAGTTTGTTATTAGCGCATACCTTTTTAATTAGGATTATTGTTGCCTAAATTTATTTTGGGTGGGATATGCTGCTGACACTTTGGTTTTTTTGTAAATGGCGCTTTTTTCTTTTTTAATTTGGTATTGATGTGTCAGAAGATTTGCACGGTTCAACATAGAACTCGGATGCTCCCAAAGGATCCCCATGTAACTAAAAATCTGGCATTGTTCTCCTTTATGGCATTAAATATACAGCACGCAAACAATTTTCATATTTCTATCCATTTTCTACTGCAAAATCACAAACACCCATACAGAGGTGTAAGAGGTCAGTGCAGAGCTTGTCAACCACAACAGAAAAGGTTTATTTATCAAGGCCTGTGCACCTGTGTACAGAGACACCAGTGATTATTCCTCTGTTCTGTACAGGTGGACAAGAGAGAGGTATATCTGTACTGAGACTCCAGAAATGATTCCTCTGACCGTAGGGAGTGGGAGGAGTAAGTCTCTAGTAAGACTCCGGTGATGATTCATCTGACCTACATGGTGCGGGTAATGGGGATATAGATCTGTCCAGAGTCTCCAGTGGTTATTTCTTCTTTTTAAACTGACTAATCAACTGACATGAATTTACAAATGCATAAAGTCTCCCCAATAAACATAAATAAAGCCGACCATACGTGGATCGAAATGCGGCCAGTTCAGCAGGGACCAGATGAATTTCGATCCATGTATGGGCACCCTGGTTGTACACAAGTTGATCCATCGATCAACTTGCGAACAACCGGCCTGTTGGGTTTTTCTCAAACAATTAGTGTCGCCTGCTATAGCTGGACAATACTAATCATTGTATTCCGCTGTCACGGAAGGCTCCCTGACACAATAGCACTGCGGGAGGGATTCCCCCATCAATACTAACTGTGGTGGAAGGAAAGAAAATTGTATAAATGTATGACCTGCCTAAGTGTATTTGTTTTGGTTTGTTTAAGGTCTTATTATTGTTATTGTTATTTTAAGCCAGTATTGAGCCTAAAAGATGGAGGTAGCTTCTAAGATTATGTTTAACTTTAGCGATTTCAGTGTTATACTACATGTCTGATATAGTCATGTACAGTCCCTGCATCTAGAAACCAGCTGTTATTTCTCCAGTTGAGGTTAATAAATTAAGGCAAACACTGGACTAGAAAAAAAAAAAACCAAAAAACATACGCTCTTCACTCCCATTCTTAAAAGTCTGCCTGTTTACAAAGATGTATTTTTTTCCCCTCTATGGTTGAAAAACATTTGATGTATTGGGGATTGTTGGGCTCTGCAAGAAGCTATGCTTACTAAGCTACAGGAGAAAACAAACCTACACCTGTTCTTATTGATCCATCCCTTATAAGCAAACCTCACACATGCAAATCTTCATTATAAACTGTGCTATTTTTTTTTACCTTTCATCTCTTTGTCCCCGAAACCTCACATCCTCTTCTCTGGGATACTGGTCATCAGAGTGCCTCCGCCCCTCCCATCGGGCTGAATCTCTTTCTCGCTCAGGGTAATCTCTATGATTAGTGGGATATTGTGGGCTAGAACTTCCTCGCCTCCATTTGTCATCTGGTAATGCAGGACCTCCGCTTCTGCTATCAAACTCATGTGCACGTGGTCCAAACCGATCATCTGCGTAGAACTCATCAGAATGCTCGTGTGCCTCAGGGGCTGCGGCTCTTCTGTCAGGAGGTACTCTACTGTCTCTGGAGTCCATCCACTCTTGTCCACCGCGAAAAGGACTTGGCTCACGTCGTCGTTCAGGCTGGTGGTTTGTAGAGCCACGTACATCACCTGAGAATAAATATGGCTTATAGTTCTGATCTTCTTACAGGACTGCTGTAGCCTATTTTTTTATTTTTCTTATATTCCTCACAATTATTAATATGAGATTAAAAAAGTGAGGGAATAAGATAATACCACAACAATAAAACATACTATAAAAAGTCATACTTTTAGTAGAACTTGGTCCTTGTCCATGTGGTGGTGCACGACCCTGCTGTCCTAGGCCAGGTAACAGAGGAGGAGGAGCCTGGCCTTTGCCACCCTATGGAACAAAAATAATACAGATTAGTTTCTACTAGGCTTTGCACTTCATTATACAGGTATATTTTGTGTGCGTAAATCATACATTCAGGCTTTTGAGATTGAGAGTTGTGTATTAAAACTATTAGGGCTCATTCACACAAATTACACTGCTAAGAATCAGCAGTTCTCTGCAGCAGGTTTGCAGTAGGGGTGTACTCACTTTTGTTGCTAGTGGTTTTGACATTAATGGCTGTGTGTTGAGTTATTTTGAGGGGACAGCAAATTTACACTGTTACACAAGCTGTACACTCACTACTTTACATTGTAGCAAAGTGTCTTTTCTTCAGCGTTGTCACATGAAAAGATAGAATAAAATATTTACAAAAATGTGAAGGGTGTACTCACTTCTGTGAGGGGGGAGAGAGAGAGAGAGAGAGGGGGGGGGGGGGGGAGAGAGGGAGAGGGGGAGATGGAGAGAGAGAGAGATCGTGTTCTTTTTTTTTGTAATGAGAGAAATAGGTTGGTAATGGCAGAACCCTTTATTTATCTCATTGCAGGTTTGAACACTTTTCCCTTCTTTAGTAATACAATGAATGAAGTATATCCTACTTTCTAATAAAGAAAACATATACTGACCAAATAAACATTTATTTTTTCCAAGTGCATCAAAACAAAAGGTGTGCAAAGTCTTTCTTTATAAATTATCCACTTCCAGAGTAGAGAAGTCTATCCTCTGTCAGTATACTTCAGAGAAAGACTCTTGCTCTTTGTTGTGGTCTCTACAAAGGTAAGAGGTATTCAGCCAGCCCTCCCACCCTCCCATACTCTTTCAAACTTGTTAGGACAGCCTCAATGTTGGTAAATTAGGAAAATTAGAATAACAAGACAGTGCCCATTATGCAGTCGATGGATGTTCCTTTTTCCAGTTTTTCAGAATATGTTTATAAGCTTGAAATAGTGCTCTGGGGTTTGTCTGTGGGACTACATCATCCAGTATACCCAATATACATTGTTTGGGATCTAGTTTAATATCAGTGTCAAATGCATCATTAATAGTACTAATGACTGTGACCCAATATCTGTGCAGCTTAGGACATCGCCAGAGCATATATATATTAGGTCGCCATAGTCTCTGCAACATCTACTGCAGGTACTGTAGGTTCCTGCATTAGACCCATGGTGCATAGTTTACACAGAGTATGATTGATGAGTAATGGTAAAAATTTCACATTTCCAAATCTGGTCTGGTTTCAAAATTAGAAAAAAAAAGTTAGTTTGGAAAATTCAAAAGATATGCTGTCTTCTTGGATAGTGGATGGCTTTCCACTGAGTACTGTCCATGACAAAAGGGCTTACAATGTAAGCTGCTAATGCATGAAAAAATATTTCATGTGGTATGCTAAATTTTCTGTCAAAGAAGCAAATTTATCTAGAGATAGAACTTTTTCCTCATTTACATCAAGCAACTTTTTAGGGAAAGCTCAAACCTGTTCCCCCTCTAACTGAAAAGTTAGCTATTACCTCTGATCAAAAAAATATATTTTTTGTTTTGAATAGAGTAGGGAAAGATTAAAATATCGTGGGTATTTTTTGTCATCCGTGTCCCATTGAATATATTTCACTCCACTGATGATAGGCAAAACAGGAAAGAAGAATAAATCCCCTCCAAAGTGAGGGGAATCTCCTCTTGGACAGGTGTCACCAGAAAATGTGTTCCTATTGGAAGATAAAACCTCTCTGGCACATTTCAAAATGTTGGACTCTCACTTTCAGTCTGGTGACTAATCATCAGGACAAATTGAGAGTAAATCTCCCTAACAGAGATACAGATAGCAATAAAAACCTTAAAGGAGTTCCAACCATTCCCTGCTCAATTCAAAATTAGAAATTAGAACAATGATTGTAAAGGAATACGATATATGGTATGACACTGACCTCTTCAAATTTCAAGTATAGAATTTGATACATGGCATCAAAGGGTTTTTTAACACCTCGCAGTTGAGCCATTCAGTCCCAAGCCTGTACTCACAAACTACAATTTCAAAAGTTGTTTATTAACAAGCGGTGACACAAAAAAGGTCTTATTTCACAAATTTATGCCATCCTTCATGCTAAGCTTCAAAACTCAACAGTAATACCAGCCAAAGCACAATGGTCCAAAGACCTGTGCACCATATCGGAAGACAAGTGGGAAACTGTTCTGTCCACCTTACTACAGGTCTCTTTATTCCCCATCTACAAGTTAACGTAACAGTTCCTTCTCCACAGAACCTACAATACCGCTGAAAAATTATTTGCCTGACACCAGAGGGAGGATCCTCTCTGCCCCCAATAAAATGGAGGCCCAACTAACCTCATCCATATGTTGTGGAGATATCCCAAAATACATAGATATTTGAGTGATATTTTAGCTACTATAAATTTTGTTTTTTCAGGTAGTTTTAACCGTAGATCCTGGGCTTTTTCTGATAAATACGGTGAAAGAATCAGCTTTGCCAGAGAACACACTTATCCCAATCAATGGGGTATTATTCCAGGCCTGCAAGTTAATTGCCCAGAAAAGTGTGTCTCCCCACTCACCAACTCAAAGAACTGAAAACTCAAATAAATCAAACATTGTCCAGGGAGAAACTAGTTTGCCAACATAGAAAACGACCTGCAAAATTTTAAAACATTTGGGACTTATGGTTGGCTACTCCGGGCCTTGCCCTGACCTCTCATACTGCATAGGCTATTACCATAGATAAGGGGAAGTGTTTGGTGTGTTGTATACCTGAGAGTACTGACTCCCCAGGAGTGCCCGTGGGCTGATGTCTTTGTATAATGTTTGAGTCTGATGATAACGAACACACACAAAATCACATGGCATGAAATATTTAGATTCTCTCCCTTTCTTTATTGCATGTCTAGCCAATTACAAGTTATGCATAGTAGTCACAGTTATGTATGCACACCAGACATTCTAATCTCTAGAATGCTTTGTTAATGTCTCTACACTGTATAACAAATTTAGCATGATACTGAATATATTTGTATTTGGTTGATATTTGTACTGGGGCCACCTATGACTAACTGAGCCATTTGTTTGAAAGTGTGATGTTTTATGTTTAAAAACTCTGAAAAACTTAATAAAAATGATCTGATTAAAAAAAATATAGAACATTGGCTTTAAACATCCCCATGATTAAGCTCTGGGGGCTGAGTGAAATGCGTTGGAGGCATGGCCTGGCTGAAGCCCGGCTGAGGCTGTTACACTTTCTTACCTAGGGTTAATGTGCAGCTCATATGAACATTTTCTCCCTTGTACAATGGCTTTAGATATACTTTAATCATTTTTTTTTACCACAAAGAAGAGTAGCATAAATAGATCTGTCAAAACAATATAATTAAAAAACAAACATCCATACTCACCTCCATGCTGCAGCATAGGTGTGATGCTGCAGCTGTGCCATGCTCACTCTAAGACCGAGAACTGAGCATCGCATGACAGTTGATCACTCAGTTCTTGGTCTACTCCAAGCGAAGAGCACTGACCATCAGTCACTGCTCTCCACTCTGCTCCTTCTGCACTCACTGAAGAACAGGGCTAGGAAAGTAGCAGGTGCTGCTGTCTCCGGCTCTCAGTTGTGTGCTGAAATGCAGAGCCAGCTGACAGGCAGTGAGGTGGAATCCAGCAATAGTGTAAATAACCTCTTGATCCACAGAGGCATCTTGGTGTCTTGTCAGGAGACTAAACCCCCTAGCACAGAGGAAGAGTCTGAAAGACACTGATAGACCATACATGAAGGGCATTCCACAAGGCTGTCACATGTCCTGAAAAGAGAGGGTGGGGTAATAGTCTTCTCCATAGGGAAGAGGTCAAAGATCCACAGGGAGTTGACTTCCTTAGCAAGGACTTGAGCTAATGGTGTTCCCAGGGTACCAGTGCTAGGCAGCTGACAAGTCTTATTTAGATGAGGTTTGCAAAATATGGGATGCTCAGTATTACTCGACCTGCAATCCAGGAAACTGATGCTCTTTAAGGAGGGTCTACTGAATGTGCCACAATGTGGATGCCAGAAAAAAAAGCACTTGGGTGGACATAAGGACCAGTGCTTATAGCAAGGCTGTTGGAGGATGCTGAAACGTCATGTCTTTACCAAGAAAAAGAGCAGCAGGGACTGATCATCACTGAGCCCTGGATTAGGCTGAGGCGTGTCAAGCACCAGAAGAGGCTTAAACACATCTAAGGGAAAAGGACCTCTGCATGGGAAGTAGCATGAGTCTGAGAGAGATATCATTCCCTTGGACAGGCTTCTACAAAAAGTAGGCCTCAGAGTTTACCAGAAGGGTATTGCATGGCAAGCTGAAGAGATGTCAAAATTGAGGGTCTAAACTTAAAGGGTGACTTGAGCACCCAGAAGCTATGGAGGCAAGCTAAATATAGACCCAGCAGGATGAACAAAAAGCCCTCCATTTGTGGAAGTGGGGGAGCACCTTCAAGCAGATAGTTGAGCACAGAGGTTGGAGGACTCTGGCTTCAAGCCCTATGACTTGAGTGGGAGGAAGGCTCTGGCTCTCTACATACTTTTTACCACTGTAGTAGTGAAAGGAAAAGTGTTTGTTATATCGCTTCCATTTACCTCCTGCACTAAGGCAGCAGCACAATCAGAAC